AAAGTTTACTCCATACCGCATCATAAAACTTCCATGATATTTGGAGATCCAACTTTAATAAGAATTAAATATCAGAACTGAAGGAAATGGTTTTATAAAAGTTTTATGTTTAGAAGAAAAGTTTTACTTCTGCCTTAAAAAAATGTTTGTTAAATGAAATTATTTGTTTGGTTGTTTGAATCATTTTATAATAACCCTTAAAAAAATATGACCTTTTTTTTATTAATAACTTTTTATTAAATCGCTTTTAAAGTCAGACGTTATGATGAATTAATCTAAACTTTGTTTTCTTTTTACCAAATAATGTTTTACTCCTAGTTAGGTACTATTTTTGGGACTCATCTGATCATACTGTAAGAAAGAAAAGACATAATAGTGAGAAAAAAAATCTTTTAACTCATTAAAAAAAGAATATATAGAAGAAAAAAAAGAAAGAAAAAAGCCGACATTGCTGATTAGTACAAAACAATTTGCTCTGAGTCACAAACGGAAAGGAAAGTTTAGAGTTGTAAAAGAAAAGGATGCAGAACTTTCTATACGGGACATTTTCATCACTCGTACTTCAATAAGTAATATATTTTATTTATACCTTTAATATAGTTGAAAAAAAACGGTAGAAAAAACAACAACCGTGTTCAGCTGAAGCTTTAAACTTTAAACTTCCTTAAATAAACTAACAGATCAATGATTTAACCGATTAGCCTGAGTAGCAGAGACAGCTAACTGATAAACAAAGGTTAAAGGTGACTGTGGCAGACATCTTAGCTCTGATTCACAGAATTAGCAAACATCCTGAAGCTACCAGAGGAACGGCGTAGAAAATAAACTCACCTCAGCTATCATATCCAACCTCACAATAACATTCATTCATTCGTTCATTCATTCATTCAGAAAAAGAACAGAAGTTTCCTGGCCTGCAGAGGAGCATCTCTGCTGTTTAGATCAGCCGGTGTTCTGTCAGATGATCATACCCATTCTTAGTAGCAGTTTTAGTACAAAAAGTTCAGTTTTGTACAAAAAATACACTAAACTACTTTGACAGGCAAGTATTCCTTTAGTCTAGTACAAAAAAACGATTTAATTACTTGCTTCTTGGTGTTTTTTGAGGCGTATGGAGATTTCACCTTAAATAGTTTTTCTTTGCTACATGACTATAGAGATATACGCCCGTTGACGTAGTTTAAAATCTATATTTCATATGAAACTAAAGGGATAAATGCAAATGTGACGTCTTGCTCATGACTCTGCTGACGGCGTATGCTGATCTGACAGAACAGCGACTCTCTGAACACGACCAGAACGGAAACAGGACCTTACCTCCCACTGCAGGTGGGGGGGGATGTTCCTGATCTGCAGTTTTCTGGTCCTGTGGGGAAAAAAAGCAGAAATCAGAAACTTTATCGTCTACTAACAGGATGATCATTGTGAGCAGAAATTAGACTTTATTTTCATTTTGTTTACAGAGAGTATATGCAGAATGATATTTGGATGCGTAG